GGAGAAGAGTAGTCTGAACTTTGCAAGTGAGTTGAAACCTCCTGTCCTGAGGAGCTGGCAGGGTGTATCCATATATAAACATTCCCAATGCACTAACTGATCACTGGAAAGCAAGGAGAGGCAGATGTTGCTGGCAAAGGGTGCCGGCATTATTTGGTTTCATAAGAGGTGTGATTAGAGGAGGCACTTGAAGGAGGAGAGAGTAATAGCTTGGCACGCAAAAGTGCAGGGCAAATCCAAGCAGAGGATTTGGGGTGTTGTTGTGAAAAGCACACTTATCTCTGTGCATGCGAAGGAGACTAGCGTACGGGACCAGGCAATGGAAATTTTTTTTGGTTGAAACTTCACTGGAGATAAAATAGTAACAGAAAGGTTAACATGTGGTTGTAGATGTACAGCTATTATATAAACCTTGTAGCTTTTTTCAAAGAGAGTCTAAACCACAAAAGTGTTTTATAATACAATGGAGGTAAGAAAGGCTCCATTTTTCAGTGTTACTGGTATACATCTTTTTTGTGTGGGGCCTGTTAAATAACAGTAAGTGTAATAATGTTTTATCTGATTCTCTCAAACATGCAATTAAAGTACATTAGTACCAGCATACTGGTTTATGTTCATTATTAAATGTAAAAATCTAAGAAGCCTGCATTAATGGAACATAAAATTGGAGATTTTTTAGTTACACAGAAGTCAGAGAATTCAGATGGACGGTTCCCATAGCAACCTATCTCTTCCTCTTTGTGTTTTTCATTTCACTAGAGTCTTTCATTATTTGATTGCACCATACATCGTATAGTGCAATTTCATCATAAAATTTCGTCATTATGTAACTGTGCAAGAGAAGAAAGTGAACGTTGTCTTCTCTCAACATTTCCTAACTTCAATGTTTCTGTTGCACAGAAGGCAAATTGATGCTTAAAGGAATTGGGTGTGTGATTTAAACGTGTTTTCCAGTTTTTGGAGGGTCTTCATAAATTTGAATGGGTGCTTTGGAATGACTATAACCAATAAAGCAGTTGAACAGAACCGCAGGGCATACCTTTCTTTATAGTTAGGTATTGTCTGCTTTGCCACACAGATAACATGGCTCCAAGGAGCAGGAGAGACCAAAGCATTTTTTGCTAACTGGAAAATTTTTCCCATCGAGATACTGAAAAGAAAGTGATAGTGGAAAATGGAGGGCAGTTGAATTTCTGGCAAATCACAACTGTGGTGGCGGGGGCAGGCGGGGTAAGCCATGACTAATAGGATTTTCAGTTAGAGATCATTTTGGTGGCTTCTGTCAACATGACAGACTTGAGAATTAGCAAAGCAGACTTGCAGTTTAAATTTTTCCATATTGGAAATTTTGATTCTGTGAAGGCTTAGATTTTTACAGGTGAAGAACCGATGAGATGGTACTTGTCATAATATCAATAGAAGTAGTAATAACCCTTGGTAATGATGAGGTCTTTGGTTTGGGGAACAAAAAGTGGCCCAGAGACAACTGACTTGTAAAACTTTCTGAAACTTTCTTGACTGAGTTGGTCTTTATGAATTGGTGGTTAATGTGAGCATTTTTAAGCCTAAATATCTGTGTACTGTCAAGCCCTAGAATGCTATGGAGATCAGCTCCACAACAGATGAACCTGTTCAGAAGAAAAGACATTACCCTGCCGATGTGAGGAAACTGAAAAGTGTGACAGAAATAAGTTATGGAGCTTCCCACCATGAATTTTCTCTTCTCTAGGCTGCTGGCTAAAGTAATGCTAAAAAGAGAAGATAATGCTGTAGCAGCAGAGGATGGCCCAGGAAAATGAAAGGCTTTTGCTTTTTATAAGCTTTCAAGATGTGTTAATTTTCATTGCCTTGGTAAAATCAGACCTGGCTGGTAGTACCATATTTTTGCTTTTGTAGTAGTGATAAATTTTGCATGAAATGCAGGTAAATAGTTGTGTTTGCTTCATTTTTCAGCAGCCAGTATGTCACGAAGTCAGCATTTCTCTGCAGAGATTTATAGAGCAGGATTTAGGCTAAATTGCTGGCATATGAGATTTCAGCCAAAGGTTGTTTTCCTTTAACCATTTTGTTTTTTAAATGCCTTGGTTGATTTTAGGTTATTGGAGTCCAATGTAATTACTTGTTTAATTGCTTGGAAAAAGTAGAGCTTCCATAGTACAAAAATGACTTATTTTCTTCAAAAATAGCTGAAATCTGGCTTGAAGTTCTCTAGAATGCAGTACACTACACAGTTGGGTAATTTCATCCTCTTAAAAATCCCTGAATAGTCATTAAAGCTTTGGAAACCAGCTAATCTCCAGGAAGATGTTTTAGGTCTGGCTATTCTCCAGAGTTTGGAAGAGACTCTGGCTGTTTAACGTGGTAAGAAGAATGGCTTCTAAGTCCCTGCAATACTGGGTCAAAGATTGTAGCCTGCTGAAACCCCCTTGCCCTTCTTAATGAGTCTGCTCTTCTCCAAAATCCAGGGTCAGCCTCCATAAGCTTGAGGTGATCCTAAGGAAAAACTGGTGCTGGGTCCAGAGACCTCATAGATGAGGTTTGATCAGTTGGATGTTGGTCAGGGCCCCTGCTAGTTGCATTGTACAAGCAAGTAATGTGTATTGTTCTTAAACATAGCACTTGCAGGAATAAGAAGGCTCTCGTGGAAGAGGGTAAAGAATGAAATAATGCATTAGGACAGGCAAAATTGTTGTCTGTGTGTTGAGCATGAGATAATAGTGGAGATGCTTAGGATCACTGTATTTATACTGAATTCCACAAGTACTCCAGTTCTTGTTGCAGAGTAAGTACCTCACTTTCAACCTGCTCTCCTCAGGACAGGAGGACTGTTGATGTGCATGTGCATCTATTAGTCTTTCTGTTGCCTAACCTTATCCCAACACACTGGAGCAGAGCAGCAGCAGGAAAGGAGGTTGGGCTAGCGAGCAAGAGTAGTTGTGTCCATCAGTGCACGTGCCAAACCCTGGGCTGGTGGGGTTTTGTTACTAGTAAGGCTGAAGTTCATTTTGAATAGTCTATCAGCATGATTTCGTTAAATCTGTTCTTCTGGTGAAAATAGAGCTGGCTTACTACTAGTCAGGTGTGGCAACAACTCTAGATGGTTCATTGTACCTGATTAAGAAGGTTATCACAGTAGTATATAGGAACATAAAAACATGAAATTTTCTGAGTATGATTCAAAAGAATTTGTAATTTTTGTCTGTGTGTCAGGAGTAGCTCATGGGATTAAATACGAAATTTGTGTAGGTACAAAGTTTGAAAAGATGTATGTTGAGATGAAGTCAGTATTGCAAAACTGCCTGCTTTTTGTGCAGAGGTTCGTGAGTTGAGAAGGTTCAGGTCTCCCAGGACAGATTCGTGTCCCTTCTCTGGCTTGACAAAAATGGGAGGTTCACAGGGAGTAGCAGTTGCAGGAATAAGAGGGCTCTCTTTTGATGTCTTAGGTAGAATACAGAAAGAAAAATACAAACTTAACAGAAACAAAGAATAAAACTGTAATACTTGAGGGATTTAAGAGTGGTAACTTGGGCGTTGCAATGATTATAGTATTTAAGAATGATATTATTAAGAATGAATTACTAAGAATTAAGAAAGATATGATTAAGAAATAGTAGTATTTAAGAAAATTTAAGTATTTAAGAAATGCACTCTTTGAAATGGAACAAAAAGCTCAAATGCTCAAAAGCTCAGAAGCCAAAACGAAAGCAGCTAGTGCTGCACAGAGCATCCCACAGCAATCGCATGTCACAAACGCAGCCCTTGGCAACAAAAGCAGCTCTGCAGTGTGGAGTAACTGAGACCACTCTTGGGGTTAGGCTCGGAATTAGCTTAGGGCTGCAGACTGTGTGGCAAGGCTTGTAGGCAACCAAGGGGATTCTTTGAAGACTTCACCTAGGAACTCCTAGAGTTAATTTGAGGAAACGTACTACCAATACTGGCTCTGAGCACTGTTGCTTGTATTTGGACAATCCACCAAGAATTACTTCTCAAATTCTTTTGCCTTAATGCTGCAGATGATTGTACTTTGAAAATGTGTCTGGGTGATCAGTTAAAACATAGTTGAGGCCAGGCAACCATTCTGATTCTTAGCTACTGGCTTAATTATGTAGGGGGGTGTGTGTGTGTGTATATATATATATATATACACACACGTATATATATATTTTTCCTATTATTTATCTTGGTGATGATGTTCATGGTTCTGAGGGTTGTTTTGAGTTGCCAAACCTGAAACCCATCTGTTTTGACTTTTCGCTAAGCATCTGTTTTAGCGGTATGTTTTCCTGTACTATGAAACTTCAGCGCTGTACATTTGTGGCACTGTAACTGGAGTCAATAAAACGCAAACGCCATGTCTAGAAAGCTCTTAATCAGTATTTCACAGCCACATTAGCTGCTCTCTCCTCCCCCTTGTCCTATCAAGAGCCTACCCTTAGGAGTGACAGGGCCCTGTTAGTGTCATCCTTTATGTCAAATTCTAAAGAAGAAATCAGTTCAGACACTCCCCCTTCTTTCAAGAGCATACATTCCTAAATCTGTTTGTGTTTTTTTTTTTTTTTATTGTTGTTATTTCTTCCTCCTGTGTCTTCAGAGTAAAGGAAAACATTGCAATAATCATCCTTAAACAGTGTGCATCTCTTGCTCTTTACATGCCATAATTTGAAATGCATAAATATATTGAACTAAGCCACACTCTGAAACCCTTAACCCTTTAATGCTGTTGGATGTGGTGGGAGGTACCTGTGCTAGCAAAGGGGCATTGCAGATAGCTAGCCCTGTTATTCTCTGCTTCCAGTTTCACAAGAAAGGTCTGAACGGTTCTCTCTTTGCTACTGGTAATTGGAGCCATGTAACAGCCTTGTCGTGGATCTGCATCAGTTCCTCTTCCTAAAGGACAATGTAAAACCTGCCGCTGCTGGGCAGTTTGTGCTACTGTAACACTGCTGAGTCTTTCTTGCAGCTTGTGTCAAGGATTGAACTTTCAAAATTATGTATTTCAGACATTGAGAAAGAAAGGACTTAATGGCTGTGACAGTCCAGACCCTGATGCAGACGATTCAGTAGGTCACAGCCCTGAGTCTGAGGACAAGTACAGGAAAATTAATGAAGATATTGATCTAATGATCAGCAGGCAAAGATTATGTGTAAGTACTCTGAACTCCCTTTCGTTCATTTACGTTTTGATATTTCTCTGAACCTGGCAGGCATTGAACAAGAAAGAAAACAAAGGTTGTGAAAGCCCCGATCCTGACTCCTCTTACGCTCTCACCCCACGCACTGAAGAAAAATACAAAAAAATTAATGAAGAGTTTGATAATATGATCAAGAGCCATAAAATACCTGTAAGTACCAAAGGTTAGATGGCTGTCTGCTGATAACTGCTGCAGTAACAAACCATAACCCTTTCAGTTCTGGCTTCTTAAGGAAAACACTTCAGCTGGAAAGAGGCTTTAGTAGCCCAATATACAACTAGGTACTGTGGTCAGAAAACTTCACACAACACATTTTTCTTCCAAGACTGCCTCTGACACATAGACAAAGACCTCGATAGCTGAAATTTAGAGAAGGAAGTGAAATATACATATATACATTATATCCACTTGATTTACAGAACTGTTTTACCACACCACTTGCCCAAATTGTATCTTAAAAAATAATGATGGAGATCTTTCTTTGTGGATGGGCTGGCAAACCCACAGAATACTTTCTGTGGTGATATAGGAGAAAAAAAAAAAAGATGTAGAACTGAAATTCCTTTATATATAGTAATTAGTGCATTCTGTATGTGTCACCAGTTCTTAAGTGTCTCTGCCAAACTCAGTTGCAGCACTGAAGGGTTACAGCTACTTGCTCACTGCAGAGAAACAGACTGCATGAGAGCCTAATGGTAGGATTCAGACATGTTTGTGTGTTGGGGTGATTTTACAGCTTTATCAGAGAATTTGCTTTGACATCATCAGCATTTTTAATGCTTTAACATGAGCTAAATTTTGTTTTAACCAAGTCAAAATTTCTAACCATCAGTCATATGCCTTGCCAGATATCTAAGAGAAATAACTCTGCATGTGCTATTTTGTTTGCAGAAGACATATGGGGGGAAATATTTTGTAATTATGATTAATACCGAATTTATAAACCTGACAAAAGTGTGGGAATTGTGATGGTCCCTTCTTCTGTGCGTGCAAGGAAGAGTAGCAAACCTGAGGACTCACCCAGGTCAAAAGAAGCTTATGAATTTGCCTATATAAATGCTTGCATCCAAAAGAGAGAGTGAAATCATCTAGATAAGTTCATTTCATGTTCCCACAAGTAGGTTGTGGGAATCGGAGTGTCTGCATACTCAGGATAAGCAAAGTCTCTTCTGTAGTCCTGGCCAATTGCACGTACAAAATCTGATACCTAAACTGAAGGTACTTCAGGATGTTCTCATGCCATTCTCTCAGTGTGAGTGTTCTCTATGTTAACTCTCAGAACAACAATTTTTACAAGGTAATGAAAATTTGAAGGAATTTTCACATCTATGGTTAATGTGTTTGTGCAGAAACTGGAATAGGTATTTTCAGAGGCCAAAATAGCACCAAATTTGACAAACGAGCACGTGGAATGCCTTGTTAAGAATGTTCAACATATAAACCGTCAGGGAAGTATACATATATATTCCATCTTTCTTACCTCCCTTTTACTTGCTCCTTTTGCATAGCTGCTTTCTCTGAACAAAAACATTCTGAAGCTGTCAGCATGAGTTTGTTTTTTCAGGATGGAACTCGGTTCAGTAAAGTAACAGGTAGGACACTTAAGACAGCAGTTAGATGCTGAAATGCTTAACGCTTTGTTAAGTCAAAACTTAGCAATCAGCATTCCTTTCCATTTTCAAGGATGACCTTTGGCTTGTTCAAATGAAGGTGACAATCTTCAATCAGATAGGATTTTGTCTAGTTATTTTTTCACCCTCAGAAATTGGGTTTTAGTTGGTTCTTCGGAGCCTCTGTTGTATGTCGTGTGGCTTGCTTCTGTTCCAAAAGAGCAGCACATGTTCATAACAATGTAGTCTTAAAGCAGGGAGAAAAAGAAAAAAGGAAGCCCTTATTCCTGATTAATATTGAGTCTCTCACCTCCATTATCACTACAAGCATTCAGAAAAAAAAAATGCATTTTCTGTAAAAATGCATTTTCTATGAAAGATGTGGGAATTGGAAACAACACAGCTTTTCAAAACACGATCCATTGTTTTAGTCCTCTCTCAAATTAATGAACTTTCTCTCCAATGACTTTCATTAGAATTTAACTTTTGACAACAAAACTCTCTATTCTTGATTCATCTCCACTATTTTCTTTAGCTTTATGGGTGTAATGTAGCTTTCTAGTTTGCAGGGATGATAACAAAATACAATTTATTATCTCTTTATGAAATTTTCAGAGACACGCTATAGAATTGTCAGTGTTAGTGATGGTTTTTACATAATAGAGGATATACCTCCTTTGCATACTTCACACGCTGAACTCGAGGTGTGTGCGTGCACATCAGCAAGCTGCTTACCACAAAAGGAAGAATCAGTAGGTGAACGTCCCTCATGCAACAGGAGCTCCTTCTCCTAGTGTAAGCCTAATCATAGTGGGCAAGATGGAGCTCAAAGCTAGTACATACCAAAAAGTTATAAATGCACGAGATGATCTCTAGCTGCACAAATTGGTATAGCTTTAGGGAGGTTTAGGAAACTATACTTATTTTCTTGTGATGGTCAAAAAAAGTAGCCAAAAAAGTTGGGGGAAAGAAAGCAAAACTGAGCAAAAAGTCACATGTCACCCATTAAATCACTACTTACAAAAATGTATAAAACAATGCAGTGCCTGGACTTGTAAGAGAGCAAATGAATGCTGCCAAATGAAAATAAAATTGGCTTTTCCTCTTAACAGATGAAGCCAATAATGTTACCTCAGATAATTTTCTAGGGGTAAGTATTTATATTGTTCTAGAACATCTGATAATAATTACACATTTATTTGTGATTTTCATAAGAGTGATGAAAGCAGAAGAGACAGAAATAGTTCACTGGAAGGCAGCTCTAAGTATTTCTGTCTGCAAATAGATGAAGGCCTGGCTGAATATGGGAGGCAAAAAAAAAAAGTACTTGGCACAAAGTTTGGTGCCTTTGTTTTAGAGGGTTTTGAATCCCCAACGTTTTGCTTCCCACAGCATTCTACAACTTGTAGTATTCACATCTAATGTTGTGTACGCTGGACATTTCCTTTAAATGGGCAGTCTGTTGCATTTGGCAGTTTTGCTAGTTGCGTCCCTGTTAAAGCTACAACTAGGGTCACAAATTACAGAATGACAAAGCAGATTGAGGCACTCGAAGGCCTTCATTTCTGCAGTTGATAGTGTGAGCAGGCTGTGGCACACTTTTGGCATGAGCCAAATTGCATTTTCTTAAGCAGTTCCTGAGTGATGTTTGCTAGTTAAGCCAGGAACAATTCCTAGTAGTCAGTTTATACACAGCTATGCTTCCCCCCCCCAGCCTTTCTCTCTCTAAAAATCTTTTTTTTTTTTTTTTTTTTTTTTTGTCTTTGTGTGTGTGTGTTAGAGAAGTTTACTAGTATGAACTGCCTTGTGGCCTCAGATGGCCTCAGTTCCTGGCCATGTTTAACTTACTAGTACCAATTACACAAGTGCATCATAAGCTTTAATGTTCATCAGGCCTAGTTGGGCTAGAACTGCCACATGACTTACCACCAAGAATGGACAGGGGATCTCTAGGAGGTTACAGTTCGTCATAAAGAACATCAAAGACAGTAGCAGAAATTTTGGTTTACCAGAAGCAAAACTGTAGACAGGCACTGTTTTAACTTCGGTAATTATTCAAACAACCTTCTCCTCTGGACCTTACTGCATACAAAAGTGTTAATGAAATCTTTGATGTTTCTGTGAAGAAACAAAAACTACTGTGTTCCAGAGAATCATATGTACTGCACTGAAAAGCAGAGAGTAAAAGTGATTTTATTTTGTTCTCTGATAAAATTTCCTGTAAAATACTATGTAAACTAGTCTAAGTATAGGCTTGCCAGACTACTGGCAAGGGGATGCAGAGGATGCCATTAGATGTGCAAAAAAAAAAAAAAAAGATGATAAGCTTTTAACTAGCTTTAAAATTACTATGCAGAATGACAAAAGAAACTGAAGTTGTATCTGCAGTGATGATCAGTCTCCACTAAAGAGTGATAAGAGTAACCAAAACTGGGGCTTTTCTGTGCAGTAGCATAGGAACATGAGAGCTTATTCATGGCCCCAGGCAGGATGTGGAGCTAAGCTTAGGCATTTGTCATGTGAATCCTTTGGCTAAAGCTTTTTCAAAAGACAGCGACCATCAACAGCAGCTGGCTCTGAACTTCAGAACCAGCCTGTACACTGAGGGCCAAAGTACATCCCCTACCTTACACAGAGTGTAGGAAACTGCTAAATACTTTTGTGAGCAGTGAAGAAAATGGCTTGCTTCAAAGCATGCTTACAGAGTGATAAACATTTCAAATTACGCTACATGTGCTTATTTCCAAGGATTTTAGCCTTCAGTCATGACATGCATGGGACCTCCTCCTGTGCGCATGGTGAATTCTTTGAAAGACAAGCCACACGTGCAGCCAGAAAACTAGTCCTTAACTGTCAAAATGTTTGCTTGCAAAAGTGTTGTGCCTGTAAGAAGTGAAGAAGAGCTGGGACAGAAGCATAGTTCAGCAGTTACTTTTAGAACCATAGAATACTTAAGGTTGGAAGGGACCTCTAGAGGTCATCTAGTCCAACCCCCCTGCTCCAACAGAGACCTGGAGCACGTGGCACAGGACTGCGTCCAAGCAGGTTTTGAAGATCTCCAGAGAAGGAGACTCCATAACCTCTTTGGGCAGCCTGTTCCAGTGCTCTGTCACTCTCACTGTTAAGAATTTTTTTTTTGTCACTATATAGTCATTTGTTCTCTTTTATTCCTGATTTCTGAAACGCAAACCTTAGATGATGCTTCAGGATCTCAACATGGATGATAAGAATGCGTGCAGTTTTGCCTCTTACTGAGCATTTCCAGAGTACCTCTCCCCCACCCAACCCTTCTTAAACCAGCTCTTCTAACAGAAATTAGCCAGTTAGCATCTTTGCTAAAAGGACAAGAGCTCCAGAGATGGAGTCCTGCCCAAGAAGCTCTGTCAGCAGTTTGTAGGTGTTTACACTGAGGTCGGTTAGCTTGAGTGTGTTAGCTGATCTCCGCCATCATACTAGCGTGGAGATGCATGTTTTTCTCAGAAAACCAAGCCATGGAGTGAGTTATAGAGTAAAATTAACACCTTGAAAAAATCCTGAGGCATTCACATAGGCTACTCTTCACAGGGTGCGCTGAATCTTGCTGTGCCTTATTATTTGTTTGCTATGTTTCAGTGGTTAAGCAAAATGATTCCCGTATATTTAGAGCTGAATTATGTCTGTCCCTGGAAAGAGGGTTAGGACAAAAAAACTTCAGGGATAACCATAATTTGATAGCCTGTGCTGTAATATGTAGGGCACAGCCAACAGATGTGACTAGTCAGAGAAGATGCATGTGGGTGGCACAAGGTCAGGCAGCCTCTGCCGCCTGATGCAGCAGATGATGCGTTCAGTTCTCAGCACACTCCCTCTGGCTCCTGGGAGACCTATCATACAATCATCTGTTAACAATAAAATTGAAATCTGTGAGTTCCTCCTTCTGAAGATGTCACCACAAGGCTGGTTTAAAGATTTTTTTTTTTTCTAAAAAAAAGAGAGTTAAGAGCTTTAAAGTGCTTAAAAATTTAAGTACTAAATTAAAGGGTATTTGGTTTGCATTTGGATTTTTGAACACTTAAAATACTGTCAGGTAACTGAAAAGCTTTTCTAGCCTTTCACAAGAGCGGGAAGCTGATTATTAAAAATACAAGTAAATTAAATATGAAATTCTCATGTATTTGAATGATGCAAGAACTATGGATTTTAATGAAATTCAGACAAGCCTTGCCCCCAAAAACCTCATCCAACAAACCAACAGACTTGAGTTGGGAATATTGTATTGTGGTTTCTGTAATCAGGGACTGAATCTCCTCACGCTCCCTGTCAGACCTAGAGTCAAGTGGCATAATGGTCAAGCTTGCAAAACTGCTTATTGAAAGGGCTTCTCGCAAAGGAAAGGCTCTATTAGATGCTTCTTTTGACTGATGATAACAGTATCTTGAAAAAGCATTAAAGAGAGCCCCCTTCCAAAACCAAGAACCAGCAGAGAGTCATATATAGAAAGTTCTTATCTTTGTTATATGTCGATGAGTAGGACTAACTTTCTTTTAAGCACTTCCAAAGCTAAGCTAGAAACTTTAAAAAGTCATTTACTGTGTTGATGCGTTTAACATGATTTGGGATCATTCTGGTTGCTAAAGCAACGTATGCTGAAATTAATTATTCCTTTTGCATTCCACCCCTTCGAATTTTTCTCCATGCAGTGAAGTCATCATGATCATGCGCCTTTGATCTTGCAGTCATCTGTGACACTAGATTAAGATATCACAAGTGAACAATTACGGCTTCACTGAATGAAAGAGAAAACGAAGCTTTCACGAAGCGTGGTTTTGTTTTAAACAAAAAGAAAAAGGAAGAAAATCTTTATAGTTTTTATGAAATAAATGTGCAAACTGCAGTGGAGGAAGATGGAATCATGATTTCAAAAATGTTATTTAAAAGCCTGGTTAACTCTGTTTAAAACTCTTCTCTTGACTCTTAGTAGAGGGGGAGCTTAAATATTTTAACCACCAACTACAGCATATTGGAACTAAATATAGAGTAACTGTACTTGAAGACTGTTGTGCTTCTGTACTATTCTTGTCTTTGTTTCCCTTTTTTGCCTGTGCAGGCTGTTCCACCACCAAACTTTGAGATGCCAATTTCTATCCCAGTGTCCAACCACAACAGTTTGGTGTACAGTAACCCAGTCAGCTCACTGGGGAACCCCAACCTTTTGCCACTGGCCCATCCTTCTTTGCAAAGAAATAGCATGTCTCCTGGCGTGACACATCGGCCTCCGAGTGCAGGTAACACAGGTACGTGCTGCTCACTCTCAGCCTTTTAAATGTCTGCTTGTATGGGTTAGTAACTTTAAACTCTGAAGGGGAATAAAAAAGAAAAAGAGCTCTGTTTTTACTAGTCACAACAGTTTATCCAAAATTGCTGTGTCGAAAAATCGAAGGAAGAGCCAAAGACGTTTCTATTTCCAATTTAGAAAATAAAAAAAAAAAGTCCTAGAAAAAGCCAAGTATTGACTAAGATAAAAGGAAATCAATAAAGGATAAAAGGGCAGACAATTTGCTGTTTCATAAAGGCAGCTTGTCTGCTTAATACATGCAAGAACTCACTGCACTGTAAAACTTAAGTGGGGAGGAGAGAATATGTGTCCAAAGTAAACAAGTTAAAGCAGGTAAAATAGACCACTAGTTACTTTAAGCAGCAATCTAGAGGCTAAATGCAGAAGTTGTTATTTCAAGGAATTATTGTTGCATTCACAAGTTCCGCCATGGTCTACAGTAGCTGAGCGCTGAGCTCAGTGCTTGGGAGCCTGGTATAGCAAGAGGTTGTGTCCTGTGCTGCTCCTGATGAGGGGTCACCTCTGAGCAGGATAAGTCGGGATTAGGTTCATTGAATCTGTCTGCCTGAAGCAATATCAACATCCTTAAGTGTACAGGGTTCAGAGAACCCTCTGAGATCTGTGAGCACAGAGAGAGACGTTAAAAATACTTGGAATGAATGTCTATGAAAGACTGAGAAAATTAAAATGAAAAGTTATGCAAATATGTGTTACAGTTAGGTTCTCATCCTCCCAGTCCTCTGTGGAGGACTTCCATTTCAGGCTAATACTGAAACAATTACAGTTTTCAGATGCTGCTGTGCAAAACACAATTTTAATATATATTTTGTAGTTTATGTGCTGTGGAAGTATGAAAATAAGATAATAAAAAATTGGGGACCTCATTTTTAGTTTGTCCTTGAAAGCCAAATACTTTGTATGTGTAACATCAAGTATTACAATTGCTGTGACTTAATCTGATTCCTGTAGGAGTCAGAAGGAAGACAATAGTAGCACTTGGATGAGACCATTTGAAAGTTGGGAAAATGTTGGGACTGTTTGGAGTGTTTGCCTGTTACGCTTTGTTGTGCTCACTTGCAGTATTTCATGTCAATCCCTTAGGTGGCCTGATGAGTGGGGACCTCACAACCGGTGCAGGCACCAGTGCAGGTAAAGAGCAGCAACTTTCTGTTCAGCGTTCGTGGTGAACAGCAGCCCTTCTCCAGATGCCGAGGCCTAAACTCTGTGTTGGTGTCAGGCTGTCAAAAGAGCTCAGTATTGGCTGGGGACTAAGGTTCCCCCAGCTCGTGGGAGGGAAGGGGCTGTTATCAGTGCTTCATGTGAGGTAGTAAGAGACTGGGTTTTGGCACTGTTGCAAATCTTGTGCTTCACCAAATCCTGTGTATATAAATGCCTGGTTTCCTTCACATTAGCTTATCCATAAAAACTTTTGGTTCCTGTACAGAGCCCTGTTCAGTTGAAACCCTACTGAGGTCAGTGGCTGAAATCCTGATCCTTTGAAGTCAAAGGGAGTTATTCCATTGACCTTAGTGGAATCAGGGGTTTATTTTATGAATTCAAGCTTCAGTAAAGACGGCAACATTGAGTTACCCGTTAAGACTTTCAGTTACTGAGCACAGATTTCATTTCAGGCTTAAGCCCACTGATAGTCATCAAAATCTGGTAGTGTTTACCTAAATAATCAGTAATTAACTTAAGCTTAGTTTTAATCATTTACTTAAGTGCTTTGGGACTCAGTGGAGAAGGATTTTCAAACTATCCAGGCAGAGCAAAAGTTTAGCCTCTTTAGGCTTATTCCCTTAGAGCTAATGAGAACTGTACTTGCTAAGGCCTGTGCTACAGAAGCAGTGTTGCCGAATTGGTCCCCTTTGCTCAGTAAACGCAGTGGTTTGTTAGCAATGTCAACAATATTACATTATAACAAATACGGATTACAAAAGACAATGGCAAGATTACTGTTTCAGTTTGAGAAGTAAACACATATGTTGGAAGAAAACAAGTAGTGAAACGTGGAGCACACCCAGTTTTACTGGATTAAGTGCTCTGGGAAAGAGCTATACAGAAAATAGTTGAAAGATCCATTTTGTGCATGATAAACCAGAGTTGAGACATATGCTGATTTTGACACTGTAGCATGAAATGACTTACAAAGAAATCCTGGGTGTAATGATCTTTTCTTTCTTGGCTCTTTGCAGCCTCCTTTAGCGTCCCCCTCCCCTTTTATCTTCACGCATAGATGAGTCACAGATGTTTGTGAGCTGCATCTTTAGCAAAATTGAGGCTGCACCACATTGTATCAAAAAGGCACTCTAACCTCGTGCTGAAGCTGCGAGAGGTTGTTATGTGTTAACTTAGGGGTAGGGTAAGCAGACTGCAGGAATGTAGCTGCTGGTCTCCTTTATTCTGGAAAAAAAATAAAGATAGAAGATTAGTTTTGTTAATCGTCTTTTGTTAGTCCCTGCAATACAGCTAAAGAAAGATGAATTTTGGTGATGTTTGCATTTCATCTTTTTTTTGTTTGTTTGGTTGTTTTTTTTGGGTTTTTTTGTTTTGTTTTGTTTTTTTAATTGCGTGTATAGTCGAAACTCCAGGTATAGCAATGGAGAACTCGGGTAAGAAGATCATTGCCCTGTGAAGGGGCTCCCTCTACTGTCTTGCTAGGAAATAGCACTGTCGGGTTCCTGCTTCCCCTGTTCTTTAAATTGAAAAGCAATTAGTAAAGAAGACAATATTTGCTCTTAGAAGGGGCACATGGTAAAATAAAAGCTCTTCTGCACATGCATTTGGCTTAATTCCTTGTGCTTAATAAAAAATACATATCAATATGCTAGGTTAGAAGTTTAAAATATAACTTTTAAAATGTAACTTTTTTCTTGAGACTATATTAAAAGCATTTATAAGCACATGATAAGAAGGACAGCTTGATAACTTGCTTGCAAATAAAGAATTTGTATTTCCTGTGTGCAATATTATACATTAAGCAATGTAACTTTGTAGCAGGCAATTGATTTGACAAGCATACGTATGTGGGGCATTGCTAGGAATAAATATTTAATTGTATGAATAGTCTTTGTTCTCTATCTGGCAATAAGAGCTTTAAACACCATTAAAGATGTGTTTTCTAAATGTCTTAAATGCAAAGCAGTAGCAAGAATTTGATATAGCAAGAATTTGATACAGGGCTGAAGGAAGATGAAAGGTCACTATGAGGTTGAATCTTCTGTCTTAGTTGCATCATTCCACAATGCCACTATTTTGGACAGTCTTTGCTCTCCAGGGTGCAGACAAATAAACGAATAAAAAGTTTTCTTTGTTCATCATTCTACATAAGAAACAGAGACCTCTGTGTTTTTTTTCTAACTGGCAACTTAGAAGCTGGTAGCATGATCATGTGGTTTAATCTGTTGGGGTTCATATTTCTTGCCAAATTAGAACATTATGAATTTGCATTTCTCTGCAGCGTCCAAAAATAGCATATATTCAAAATAACACACTCCAAAGAAGAAAAATCTAAAGAGTTTCATTTCTGTCACAACAAAATAGAACTACTTTTGATTGCTGACGCCAAGCCTCAGTTTCTGCATTTCTTCAACAGATTACCTTATAACTTCAGTGTAGGAAAGGGAAAAAGATACTTAGGTTTGTTAAACCTCTAAGTTTTGAAAACTGTGTTAATTTGTTAGTTTGGATTATTCCCGGTAATAACCCTGACATTTTCTGCAATTTACCTTAGGAGTTAGCCCAAGGCATAAATAGAACTTAAGAAAGCTGACGGCTTTATTATTGTACACAGCTAAATACCAGCAGCGGTATTTTTAACTTAAACCAAGGTTATCTCAGGTTTGTTAAAGTAAATTTGTTCTTAGACAGATACTGATTGGACAGTTTATAACATGTGATAATAGCAAAGTCCAACAAGACTGGAGTGAATTTACCATTTAGTGTAGTTGCCAAATTACAAATACCACAATGTCTTTGGCACCATTCTCTCAAATCAGAGATTTTTAATTAGAGACAAGAAATATTTGGCCTCAAATTGGTACACTCTAAAACCACTTAGAGTTACTAATTTCAGCTTGCCTCATAACTAACATGAAAATTAAGTGACTTATAACCTAACTCTAATTAATATAAGAAAGGGTGTGAAGTTGTCTTAATTTTTAACGTGCCTATTTATTCTTAAACAAAAACAGTTAAGTCAGTACTAACCTGATCAGAAACAAGTAATGTTTATGAAATGGAAGTTTCAGTTGTATAAATGATCCAAACTCTGTTTGTTTTGTATGGTAGTTCAATACTTATGTTGTAAGCCTGATGAAAGATTGAGACTTTAAAAATATATCAGTAGTTTAAAAATTAAAATGCAATTGTTTTGAGGAAATCTTTAATAGACTTTGAAAACCACCAGTTGAGTTATAACCTTCATTTTTTTTCTCTGTGGTTTTCAGATTATGACCTTTTTTATTTATGAATTAAGTTTTATTTTGAATGGAATAAGCCCATCTAGATCAACAGAATTTCGTGAAATTTTTGTTATTATAAATTATAAAATAGAAAAATTCATTCTTAAGTTTAAATCTAGGAAGAGTATGTTAAAAATACTGGTTTTGCCTTATTTTTTTTTTCTGTAATTTATCTGGAGCTAGTTTCTGCACTGGCTCCTTCTTGACATTAGTATTAAGCTAAAAGAGCAAGTTATTCAAAACTTGGGGCTCTAAAAATGCTGTCAAAGGAGCTAAGGGTGTGTTCTCTTTAAATAAAGCATCCTTAAAGCTGCTCTCTAAAGTTACTAGATATTGAAAAGATCAGGAGTTCCTTTTGAAAAATTGATCCCCCTTTTTTTTTTTTTAATAGCTGAATCCCATATTTACCTCTGGATCAGCAGCTAGTCATTTCCTTTTGGAAGTAAAGCACAACTTAGCAGTGGTCTTCTCATCTTCTCAAAGCTTGGGTTCTGGATCTCTCAGCCAATATTACAATTTGCCAGCACTTTACTGCTATTTTTTCTTTTCATGGTTATGTGCTGGCAGTGGGTGAAGGTGTTACAGGTTCTTTTTGTATTTCAAGCCAACAGATATACGTGTAATAGTCATTTTTTAATATATAAGGTAGAGGCATTCCAGGTGGTATCTTCTCAGAAAAGAAGAATTTACTAAAAGGAAGCAATCTGTCCAAAAATGCCTGCGAGTATGTCCTTACTTAAAAAAGTAAGCAAGCACATGAAAGGCACCTAGCTCTATTAGCCTCTTTTGCACCTCCAAATATAAACAAATAGTAAACAGCAGAAACATAAAAGATTACATACTCTCTGTTGTACCCTGCAATCGTGCTTGGCAAGTCAAGAGAAGTTAATTCTGAGGCAGCAGGTGTGGAATATGTTAAATAAACGAATGTGCCTAGAGTAATGATTCCTAAAGCGACATTTATGGGCAACCTGTTAGGACTGGACTCCCAGAGAGAGCATAACAAGCCTTGGCCTTCCCTCAGTATTTGATCAGTGCAGTTGTCCACAGACCTATGATCTAAAGATCAGCGAGATGCTCTAGAGAAGTGCAGTAAACAACAGTTTCTGCCCAAGGAAGCTCAGCAATCCAAAAGCAAGAACATAAAGTCATTCATAACAGAGTTGGTGATGCAAGAGGGCCAAACCCAAACAATAAGAAATCACAGAACATTAAGCTGGCTGAAAAAAACAAGAAGAGTCATGAGAAAGGAGCAACACAATAGCACTCAGATTCATTTTCTTTTCTGTTTTTCTGCAGGCTTTGTGCCATTAAGTGCTGCTTTTCCAAGCTTTCCTCTGTAAAAGGAGATTATGTACTTTTTTTTTTTCCAATCCTGTGACAATCCAGGAGTTGGTGCTTTAAGGAAAGTATCTACCAGTGGGAGATTCGTGATAAAGCAATAACAACACTAGGACTTGTTTGACAGCTCTAATATATAGTATGAAGGAGATTGTCTATCTAACAGTACTTGAAATTCATGTCTGTGTAGGCAGCCAACACAGGTCTTTCCAAAATTAAGTCCTGTTTCTGCTTGAGACAGGTGATCTCTTGTAGGGAGCTAAATAAGAATCTTTTCATGCAGGTAAATATCACATCAGCAGATCTTTAAGAATAGATTTGAAAGGGTGGAGGCTGCTGTCCATG